GTCACGCTCATAACTGTGCCTGATCTACAACAGGGAACTGCTGCTTTTTCTTTCCTGATCCTTACTATTGTCATTTTTCTCTACTCATCACACTTAGGATCTTTTTCCATTCTACACCCTATCCAGCATGGCTCATCTTCTCCTCTCGCCGATCTCGTCTCATCTGATTTTTTTTCTGCCCTCAACATATATACCATCTCAGCACAGTTCACGTCCCCTCATTGACAACGTCATATTATCATTCTGTCTCATCCTATCAAGTATTGTCCCATTTCATCTCATCTAATCTCGGCTCGCCTCACTGATGATCTCACAAAATCCCAGCCATTCTCTTGCCGTTTTATCTCACCTCAGATACGATCTCACTAATTCCCTTCCTTTTAAATCACGTCTCAATTCATCTCATCACATCTCATCTCGCCTCAATAATTATTTAACTAAATCCCATCCTTTTAATTCACCACTCATTCAATCTCATCTCATCTCATCTCTCCTCACTAAAACGCATCGATTTAATTCATGTCTCATTTCATCTAATCGCATATGACTTCACAAATTATTAATTTCACTATAAACCCATCAATTCAATTCGCGCCTCATTATTGTCATCCAAACTCATCTCACCTGACCGTGTTTTACTAGATCCAATCCATTTATTTCACGTCTCATTTTACCTTAATTCATCTCACCCAAGCTCGCCGCATTCTGCCCTATTTTATCTCATCTCAACTCACACATAGTCTTGTCTTATCCGCCAGCTGCTGGTTCTCCCCGACCTGGGCTATCTGGATCCTCAGCATACCCACAGTGGGGTCATTGGTGGTGAGTAATCAGCTTGTCTATAATTATAGGACACTCCCCCTCCAACCCCCCCTCCCCCCCAAAAAAGCCAACCCTTTACATTTCCTGCCTCACCCCTTTTGTAAAAAGAAAACCACCAATGACACTGTTAATATAGGATATAAAGGGACAAAAGTGCAAGAGAAGTTGTATAGTTTCACCAAAGTCCACGTTTCACGTCCACCTTTACCAATATAAACTAAGTCGTGCCAGTGACATTGCTAAAATAATATGAGCTAGGGGAACCTGCATGATCACTAGCCCACACAGGCATGCCCTCTCGCGCACGCGCGCGCACACATCAGATCCACTTTTTCCCCCTTTTGTTGTCTTCTACTTCAGACGAAGTCGTCCCTGTGATACAGCCAATCACGTCATTGAGAAAAAGTTGACACTTAGTAGGATCTTGCCAAAATCAATTTTCACACTTAACTCCTTGTCCCGTTCCTTCTCCCGAACTGCTCGTCAAACACCTTGGGTAAGGAAATGATTTTTATGGGCACAAACTTTTGATGGATCGAAGTCTTTAACAAGTCAAAGGTGTGCCTAGTAAGACGACT